TCTTTCTCTTTCTCTTTCTCTTTCTTTTTCTTTTTCTTTTTCTTTTTCTTTTTCTTTTTCTTTTTCTCCTCCTCCGCCGCCGCCTCGTCCTCCTTCGTCTTCTCCTCCTTCTTTCTTCTTCCTTTTCTTCGTCTTCTTCTTCTCCTCCCCTTTCTTCTTCTTCTTCTTCTTCTTCGTCTCCTTCTCCTCCTCCACCTCCTCCTCCTCCTGCTCTCTCTTGTCCCTCTTCTTCTTCTTTTCTTCTTCTCTTTCTTCTCTCTTTTCTTCTTCGCTTTCCCATTCATCCCATTCCGGCCCGCTCCATCTTCGCTTTTTCCTTTCTCCGCATTCCGTTCTTAGCTTTGTATACTTTGCTCCCTCCTTTCTCTACTTCTCCTTACCTGCTTTCCTCCTTCTCTACTTTCTCTGATTTGCTTTCTCCCTTCTCTACGACCCCTGATTTACTTTCTCCCTTCTCTACGACCCCTGATTTGCTTTCTCCCTTCTCTATTTTCCCTGATTTGCTTACTCTGCTGATTTACACTGCTTCTTCTTATTGATTTTTCCCTTCTCCGTTTCCCCTTTTTTGCTTCTTTCTCGCTTCTTTCTCGCTTCCTCTTCATTTCTCTCTTCTTTCCTTTGCTTTCTTTTTTCTCTTTGTTTCCTACTTCACGTACTTCCGTTTCACCTTGATCTTTTCCTCTTCTTTGCTTGGTCATTCCTCTTCTTCCCATTCTTAGCTTTGTTTTTGATTCCCTTCTATGTTTTCTTCTTCTTATTTCGCTTCTACGTTTTATTATTCATTCCTTGTCCCCTTCCTCTTTCTTCCTTGTCTTTGCTTTTTTTCTTCGCTTTCTTCTCCCCCTGCTTCTTCACCTTCTTATTTGCTCTTCTTCTTTTTCTTTACAATAATCTAAAAAAATATTTTCTGAACGTGCCGGTCCAATTAAATCACAGGTAGTATTTATAATTTGAATCATTGCTTTTAACCTATGTATTTTTGTAATGGAATACTTTCCAAAGTGTTACTAAAGTAACAAATTTTCCTGAATGGCATTAGCATTCTGAAATAAACAAATATTAAGTTTTAGTACAGTTTAATAAAGTATAGGAATTAATAGATGGTAGCCATCCAGATAAGGAAGTAATACGTGGTTTTACAGTTTTTTGAAATCTGCTATGTTATTTGCTGAAAATTTGCTTGTGATGGAGGCACAGGATATTGTGGAATGAGAGGAAATGAACCTCCTTATACGCTGATACTCGCTCCATATATGAAGCGGCCTAACGTATGCATGCCACATGTTGGGTCTAATACAAACAAGGAAGAACCTGTCACCACGTGCAATGTTATCATTACGTTTAAGCTTGTAACGTACTGAGAACGTGCCTTGGATTGTGCCAAGTGCCATATAGTAGTTCTTATATGAATTTAAGAAATTAAAAAAGTAACTTTTGAAAATGGAACAACATTTGTAATACTAGAATGTTAGGAGTCTAACAGAGTTGTTTTACCAATGTATACATGAAATATGTGCACCAAGAGAAATAAATATGGATAGTGCGTAGGTATTGTCATTCCATTATCAAAATTGTTTAAATAAATGATTGTAACTTGACCATGCAAAAAGGTATTGGGAGTCTTTGACTTACAGTCCAGATCTAAATTACCAAGAAACAAATTGTGCGCATCTTGAAATGTAATTCTAATGATAAAGTTGTAATCGTCTAAACGTTTTGCCATTAGGTTTCTTAATCTCAAAAATTTGAAATCATAGTATAATAAAATTGTATTAATTATAATTAGTGTATTATTTTTTTAGTATTTAATGAACAATATATATTTTATTATCTTGAGGCCTACTCATTTTATTTATTCTAATATTTTTTACAAACATTTGAAAACCTTGTCACTTTTTTTTAGTATTGCCCAACTTTTGAATGCTAATGGGCTGCTTTGGAAATATTTTCAAATCATTCTTCCATTCAAGTGTTTGAAGTGTTTTAACTAATGTTATTTATAATTTAAACGGTCTCAATTTGCAGTTAACCACGAAAAAGGTTTGATGTACCACAATTTTGGTCATTTAATCTTGTTGTTGAGGAAGGCAGAAAATGTTTATCTATGAAAATATTGCGACTTCTTGATTGCATAAAGTCATTTGTATGATGTGCATTGAGAGAAAAACTGAAGCAGTAATAATAAAATGACGAAAAATGTTACATTTATATTTAATGCTGTTCCGTTTTATCGTTTACTACAAAATGGCCACTTTACTCTGCTTTCTCCGAAATCACTCGTACCAAACTCAAATATAACGGTACATGAAAATGTGTGTTTGCTCATCCAAAACTTCATATATTATTTACTTTTAGTGGCAATTGTTGACATATTTTCCATTGAGATTCTGAGATGTAAAATTTTTACAGAACACATTTCATGGTTATTTTATTGCTACTGCTCACTAGAACATTTTGGAACGTTAACGAGGCCATAAAACCTCTTTATTCTGTCGTTAACGTGATTTTCGTAAAAGTGGAGCTCTGCAGCGGTTTTCAACATATGCACTCGCCACTACCAGTAACCACTGTAATACGTCACGTTGATTGAACACGAATCGTTTCGGGTGTAAAACAGTAATACCGACATGTTGGTCTTTATATTACCAATACATAATTTTGATAATATTAACACCATAGCCGGTCTGGGTAGCCGAGTTAGGCAGTAGTGCCGTAACGCTGGTTTGAGACCCGTCTCAGTCACGGTTGTATGTGTGTTCGTCCTTTCACCCACTATCATTACCATATCATCTCATCTTTACAGTCACCATTTCGTTAAATGCAATCGAGGTCACAAATTTACCTAGATGTTGATGCGACCTTAAATGACAAAAAATTAAAATAACACCATAACCTTTACCACTTCTTCCCTAGAAGTACGGATATTTGCGGCTAGAGCTTTCGGTTATTATTTTCGTATTTCGTTGCAGTGTGTTCGTCGCGGTGAGGCCATGCGCGATTGTACTGATGAAGTGACGTGATTCCCAATTCCGCCAATTGAGCAATCTGCTATTTTCATCGTTGTGCCTGAAACAGTAAACAGGTTCTCCGGTGACGTTTAGCGGTACCATGTTTTCCGATTCGATCCGAAGAAGTGTAATGCTGCGCACGCTTCCTTCATAAAATAACAATCCTCACATCTGAAAACAAATCATGCGTACGTTCTTGTCGAGATGTCCATATGAAGTCTGTTGTTGCACACCCTAACGTCGTTTTAATCTTTCGTGCTGCACGTGAGCGTATGAGTATGCAACCTAATAGTACATCTGCAAGTCATGATTCGGGTGTGGCGCTTTATTTCTCTACTTTCGAATGGAAGGCAATTAAGAAGTTCATGCACCTCCTTCCTTCCAACACTGTGGATGTGTATTTATGGGTTTGTTAGAAGGGAGCTTGACCGTGGAATGATAGGTCACTCCGAGTATTTAAACCTTCACCTAAAGCTTGACCATCATCCGAGTTTGTTGTAGGAACTTGAAACGTCCGCGTGGGAAGTTATTATTCCTAGACTGATGACGTGGGGAGGTTGTGGATCCTAAAGCCAAAGGGATACGTCATGACCTATTACCTTCTGTGGAGACAAACTGATGAGTTACTGTTGGCATTATAAAGGATGCCTCAAAAAAAAAGGATCAAACGTTTAGGTAGTGTATTCGACAATGGAGTAACTGTATGTGTGTACCTATGTGCATACGCGTGGCGCAGATTCATGGCGGAGCTGGAGGGCTGCTCTAGTGATAAGCCATATCATGCCATGAGTGCTATGCCCATGCCATTGTTGTAACCATGTCATGCCATGTCCATGCCATGTTTGTAACCATGTGTGTCTATGTGCTTGGGAGTGGCTCGGCCTGGTGGCGGAGCAGGAGGGCTGCTCTAATGACAACCCGTCAATGGAGTAACCGTGTGTGTGTCTGTGTGTAGACGTGGCGCTGTCTGATGGCGGAGCTGGAGGGCTGCTCTAACGATGACCCTTGTCCACGGAGTAACCGTGTGTGTGTCTGTATGTGTAGGCGTGGCGCAGCCTGATGGCGGAGCTGGAGGGCGCCGGGCGGCTGCTACGCGCGGGCGCCGACGCCCTGGAGGCGCGCGCGCTGGAGCGCCTGCACTCGCTGCAAGCGGAGAAGCGCCGCACGCGCAAGCAGCTGCAGGAGGAGCACGGCCGCCTCGCCTCGCGCCTCGCCCACGTGAGTACTCACTGCTACCTTTATTACTTAAGCTGGGGTCTGTCTTTAACTATGATTTGGAGGTCTCGATTGGGAGGTCCCGATCAGGTGGTCTCGATCAGGTGGTCTCGATCTGGAAGTCTCGATCCGGAGGTCTTGATCTGGAAGTCTCGATCCGGCGGTCTGGATCCGGCGGTCTGGATCCGGCGGTCTGGATCCGGCGGTCTGGATCCGGCGGTCTGGATCGAAAAACAATTGTCTCAACAACATAGATGGCATAGCCTACCATTTTACTGATTATATTATTAATGTGTTCCCCCAACAGTAATCCCAATGTCGGCGGACCGGCCCCGACAGTTGGAATGTCGCCTGCGCTATCGCGGTGCGCGACTAGAAGTTTTCCCTGGCGAAGATACCACCATTGCGCTTATTAATGAATACAAAATAATTAACACTCGCAACGTACGACATCGCGAGATGTCGCCCGCCGCCCCGTACACGACTATTTTTCGTTGATATTTAGACAAACCTTGTGGGTGCTTTCCCACAATAGTAACGTTGAAACGGAATTATGTACATAGATAATAAGAGTTGCAAAAACTCGATATTAGCGAGATTGTCGAGAATCTTTCAGGAATCCAATTGGAAGAAAATTACTATTCTTTCTAATTATTGCCCTCGTATCTTCTGTTGTAAACGTCTTACAGTAGTGCAGAAGAAATCCAAGTCACAGTCCTAATTAAATGTTCAAATTCAATGTCTATAAAGCCAATATAATATTTTATATCAACTTTCGCGCATATTTTAATTCATGTACCATCATAATCTATGTTGGGATGAAAATGGCGTATCACATACCCCACAGACAAAAACAATTAATTATCATTTCACATTGTTCAGGAAAGTCAAGCATGAGTTACCTGCAATTTTATCACCACCAACTCGGTAGGGATGAGTCTAAAACGAAGTGGAAAGCTACTCCCTTCTCGCCATGATGAGAAGGCATGCGTGAGCCGCTGCGCAGCCTATCCGGCTTCGCTTAATGAGCTTGATGCTCCAGTTTGCGTCATAATATTGGCGGAAATTTTAAATGCAGCCCGATACTAAAATTATCACCATGTTAGAAGTAATTGAAAGAGATTTATGAATCATTTTTTCAACTACCCTTTTATCGTGTAATTTTTGTAGGAGACTGTTGAGAAATGTCACTTTCAAACTGTTTCTCAACATCTCTCACTTGCCATACTACATGGCGGGTCTCTGGCCCTGCGATTCAAACGAAGTCACGTGTCACGTGCGGTCACGTTGTTCGTGACGTATGTGGGGCTGCGCAGAGCGAGCAAAACTCGGCGCGCCGGAGCAGTGTCTTTGCATCACGCCTGTCACGCTGCGTGCCCGTCCTCGTTCGCCCAGCAGCATTAACCGCCCGCAGCGGCTCTTTCGCCGGCCGGTTGCTCGCTTCGCTTCGTTTATTTTCGACTTTTATTGCCCGGCCTGTGTTTGTGGACGGCGCGCCGCCTCGTTTGGCGCGGTGTCCTCGCGAGGTTTACAGCAGGGTCTTCCTTTCGCTCGCATGTGACGCTCGCCACGTGCGTTCGGTTCTGCCCCATTGCCCCATAGGATGGGGTTTGTTGAAAACTGGGTTACTTTGTTTTTCCTTTTGTTATTTAAGGTCGCATCAATTACTAGGTCATTAGAGACTATTGCGTGTTACGGTATGGTAACTATGAGGCTGACACAATATGAAGATGATCATAGGAGGGCTACCCGAGGCGGGACTTGAAACCGCGACCCTCCGGTCCTACTACCTTAGCGATCCCGGCCATCCGGACAGGCTGGGTTACTGTGTTGCTCGCAATGTGTTACAAAAGCGCGTGGTTTGGGAAAGCTATGGATGTATCAATTGTGTTTTATTATTATTATTTTAAAAGGCATGGATGCTACGGGAGGTGTTCTGAAACATAAATCCTATAAATCCTATCTCATGTGTTGTTGTAAATCTCAATCGTATATCGTCGAAAGTTTTTTTAAAAATCCTTTGAAAAACAAACAGTTTTTGCTTTAATCACGCAGCTTTACAAAATGAAATCCCATTTGCTATCAAAACATAGGTGATTGTTGTTCTAGAGCTTCTCTAAATTTCAAATCAAACACCAACAAAAGCAAATGACATGGAAAGTTTTTTTCACGTTCCTCGTAGGTATTGATGTTCGGTGTTCTGACCACGAGGCGTCGATGAATATAACAAAACAAATATAAATTTACGTATGAAATGAAAAAGTGCATAATCAAAAAAATTTAATGGAAACCTCTCGATTTATTGTTTTCATTATAGTGTTATTCATAAGTGTGACTTTCGACCCACATTATTAGTGAAACTTTTCGTTCCCTTTTAATCATATAAAGTATTATAAATGAGCTGATCATAAAAACGAAAAATTGTCTTCGCAAACTATTTTTTCTTGCATAACTGGCAGCCTTTCATAATCATCTTTTTACAAAATGAAATAGAGTTTGGTAACATTATTTATTGCCCATAACCATTGCAATAAATACCATAGCTCTTGCAGATCGGCTCTATCTCATAACGAAACTGAACGCACCCAAACAATAAACTTCCGCTCTCAATCGCTTTGTGAAATGTCAAAAGGGGGTTATGGTCCGGTGACATTCGGAAACAAAAACAAATGAATGGCAAAGCGAATTCGTTCTTCTCGCTCTAAGAACCACAGCATTTAATTGCAGTTGCAATTCATTCCAGTTCAGACGCGAGTTGTTCATACACTCACTGAACACTGATAAAAGTAGCCACGTTTTAAGCTGGTACACTTTTTTGCATGTATTTTTTACGAGATAAAAATTTGTACGCTATGATAACTCAGACAACATGAACTTAAAATTCAGACTTACTTATTCGTATGTGTTCATGTATCAATGATAAATCATTCCACAAAACTGGCAATATTTCTGATATTTTCTACTTTGCTTAAAATATTTTCGCAAAACTTTTTTAAAAGTAGGTAGGAAAGTTATTAAATACAAGCACATACTTCTTGAATCATAAATTATCATGCTACAGGCACAATATATGCCAATAAAACTGTTTTGGTTACTCGTTTCTCTCTCTATGCACCTGTTTTCTCTCTCCCCCCTCTTTTCTCTCCACTCTCTCTCTTCCTCACTCACTCACTCACTCACTCACTCACTAACTTTTGTGTCTTTGCTTGTTTCTGTCTTTATATGTATATTTTCTCTCTTCCTCTTCCCTTGCCCCTCTCTCTCCTTCTACCCTTCTTCCTCTCTGTCTCCCTCTCCCCTACTTCCTCTCTCTTTCTCTACCCTTCTCTCTCTCCATCTCTCTCTCCATCTCTCTCTCTCCATCTCTCTCTCTCCATCTCTCTCTCCATCTCTCGCGGAACTGCCACAAAGAAAGAGAGAATTGGGGCCCAATTTTTTTTCCCAATATTTTTGGTAAGGGGGGGGAACGAAAATTATTAATAAAATAAATTTCCCCCCATTGCCCCTCTAGAAAGTCTGATAAGGATTTGCAGTTTCTCAATGTTGTGCAACTCCTTAAAGAGATATCACTGCAAATGCTTTACTCATACTAAAAATGGTTCTATGAAGACACTAACGTCAAAATGTAAGTAGTTAATATAGATTTCTAATTCGATACCTACAAGTGCAAAATAAAAAAATTAATAGAAAAAGTAATAAAAAAATAAAGTTACGGATAGTGGAGACTAGACTGTCTCTGATCTGCTATTCTAGCGCTTCACGTGAGACATCACCTCCAGGAACATACCAATGTAGATGGAATCGTTCACCTGTCGGGGGTCGGGGTGCTGATTTACCTCAGCTTGATTGTCACTCTGAAAATGTATTCGTTGGATTTACAGATCAAAGCATTCAATAGGAAATGAAGAATTATCTTCATTGCCACCGTCTACTTGCTAGGAGATGATTTGTGAGTACAACGTTCTGCGTGACGTGAGCGTCAGTTCTTTGTTCGAACTTCCGGCGTGTTCGCAACAGGTTTTCCTATTGGGACAATCATTGTCATATCGAGTCTGCGTCAGAAATTAATATTTTTGTGGCATGCGTGGAAGATACCCATCCGGTAAGAAAGCTCTGACAGTAGGAACGTTATTGGTGTTGCAAATTGCGTTTATTTGTTAGTCGTGAAAGCAGTCCGTTAGTCAATGCAGTCAGCCGCTCCTCATCTCTTTGTGAAAATCATCAACAGATAGCGCGAAACGAGACTGTCTCATCTAGTCCAGTGATGCTAGGTATGAGGCTGCTCGTAGATTTTAAACAACTGGCCATGCAGAGACCAGTGGTATCGATCGTCGAGTTACACTGTCGTTTGTGTGTTGGGGATGCACAAAATAGTGTCCAAATTTTCTTTGATAGTTGTGAGATGTTATTGCGTTTTCGCGTGGGATCTTGACTAGTATCTGTTCTTCCAAATTCCATGAACCCGGCTTGTCTAGGAAATATAGTCTTAAGACATGTGAAGAAGGTCTCGAAGTAACGAATTTACCGTAAAGAGTCACATAAAAAAGTTCATTTGCGGTATATGTTTTTTAAAATGATTTATTTAACGATTCTCATGTTCCTACGTGGAGATTACATAAATAAGGGTAGAACTTAAGTGAGAGGCTGGCTTGAGAGAGAGTGAAATACAACTTTTTTTCCCTCAAGTTTTTCAAAAATTTGTGAGTATACCTAATGGCTGGCTGGTAGTGCGGCACGCGCAGCGGGGTAGGGCGCCCAGATATACAATCTGGCAGCCCGCAATGACGTGATTTTCAAGGTTTGGGAGTGCACTGGGAAGCTTCTTATGTTTTTCTTCAAATGTAAGCGTCTTTCTGTCACTTTGTGGCTGTGGTGTTTTCACCTTCCAGCTGGAATTTGAATTTAATGGGGGATTCCGTAAATAATCTCGCTGGGGGTACCTTTTCACCTTTTTGTTACCCTTAACTACATGATAATTCTTTTAACGTTGTCTTACTTTCGCT